CTCTATTGATTTATTGATCTGTTTGGTTAATTAATGATACCAAGTAAATGCGAGAAATGAAAGAAGATTTTTCGTAGATTGATTCGCTAGAGTGAAATATTTCGAGCATCTAGAATTGCGATTTTGATGTGCCGCCGCCCTCGCTTCTTGCAAGGGTTGCAAGATAATTGACATACAAAACCCTGCAGCCAAATTGTATTTTTGATTTCTCCACCCATCTCTTACTCTGAGGATTTCTAATCCAGTCCCCTCTTATCTTGACAGATAAGCGTAGCTTACCGTAGCTGCTTGTAGATATCACTCTGTTGCTAAAATCTTCTATGAGAAAAACCATTTTCGTTGCGTATGCTGTGAAAAAAAAAACTAGTGCTAACTTTGAAACGGACGAAAATCCATCCCGAGAATTTTACTCGGTTGCAGTTCAAAAGGGAACTCGGTTGCAGTTCAAAAGGGAATTTGTATGGTTATTTTACTTAACGACGTGTTCATGGTATCATCCAAACAATTTATGGAATATTTCTATCATTTAAATTATCGTTCGGGTATGTTGTTTTTTAATTTAGATTTTTATCGATTCCATAGACACTCATCTCGATTTTAAATCAAAATTTTGACAGTGAACATGTATAAGGGCGTATACACGATGATCGATTCTCTTCATCGATTTTCTCTTAGTATTGCTACAGCTAAGCGAAACAATTTTCTAGAATTTGTTCAATGCAGAGTTGCAACAGGTTGTATTGGCTATCAAAATCAATAGCAAATGCACCGAGAAACGTTAATTCTAGTGAGTTAATAAAGAGAAAATCGACGAAGAAAATCGATCATCGCGTTCATGCCCTTATGCATGCTCACTGTCGACTTAAAATTTTAAAATATGACGCTAAATATATTAGTTGAGAGCTCGCTACAAAGTCCCACTGTTGTTAATGTGACAAAATAGCAATAATTGGAAAGCAAGCTTGAATCACTTACGCCGATGCAAAGAAGAAAAACTACCAAACGCAATTTAAACATAATCTCGCGTCACACGATAAAAGGGCCTATCATTGTTGATCGATTCTCTTAATAGATTTTCTCTTTTGCGAGTAGCGCGACTGCGGATGCATTTTCCATCGGGTGTGTTGTTTCAGGCACAGGTTAACACGGTCTTCTATCGAGCTGTGCTGCGATCATAGCGAGAAATTAGTTTATGTTGTCGTGATAAACCAAAGAGAGGGTCGATGGAAAGAATCGATCAACGACGATAGGCCTTTTTCAAATGTTACGCGATGTTATTTTACTACACTGAAAAAAGTTTTCATATAGTTTCCATTGGGAACGCACATGATATTTTTCCAATAACAAAATTCATGATTTTTACCTGAAATTCACATAAGATTCATATGATCACATGAATTCTATGTGTTAAATCACATAAACTTCATTGGACACATAAGGTTCATGTGATTTCGTGGTGCGATTCCCAATTATGAGATCACATGAAAGTTATGTGAAATTCTAATGGATATTTTCCATCGGAAATGTGATTTATTTTTTGAGTGTACCCTTTCGCTTAACTAGGATCAATGCACGCGAAAGCAAAGAAAGGACACACAATTTTAAGTCAACTTTACGTAATACGTTTATTATCTTTGCTTACCACAGCACGATCTCGTCTGCACCACAGGATTCCTCTCGTGACTGCACGCAGCATAATAAAAACCTATAAAAACACAGCATATGTAGATAATATTGTACGCTGGCACCATTTCATAGGTGCTGCGTAGCAGTCACGTACATCCTGGACGTTTGACTACATATGTGATTATTCCGGAAGGTATCTCCTGAGGTATGGTCCTGAAATGCATCGCATAGATTTGAACGATATAAGCTAATAAATTTAGATTAGAAATGATTTTTATCTCTTTCATTCTTACCAAACTTATGTTAGAACGATAGCATTTTTCTAAGGCTAACTTTCCGATATAAGTCAAATTTTTGGTAGAATAAATCGTCAAGTTGAAACTTAGATTCACCGAAATGGCTAGATCTCCGATTTAGAGAGAGAATCAGTCCTCGGTCGTAATCACAAGTCTAAACCTGATGCTAAAGGCACTTCTTTTCATCCTATTGAGATTCTGAACCAGGCTATTTTAATCGAGGATTTAGTAGAGTAACTGTCTTAGCGTCTTGTACACACAGAGTTTAGATTACCGAAGTCGGTAAAATTTTACTGTGTTTTTTAACAGCATACATTCCAGTACTCAACCCAGTTGTTTATACTTTTACTGAAAATTTCGTAAATCGCAAAATCTTTGAACTGTCAAAAATTACCGTTTAAGTCAGTAAATAAATTGCTGTCTATATCAGTAATTTTTTTGTTTACCTTTATTTTGAGTTTTTCAGTATTTTTATGTAAGTATTTTGATGAATACGTCAGTAAATTCATAATAAATGTTTAATTACTGGTAGTTAATGATTTATTTTTGATTCCATACGGTTCCATACGATCGACAGCATTCAATTAATTAATTTTTTTATGATTTTTATTTAGGGACGATGGTTAACATGTTTATCGCTTCCTGGTGGCAGGGTGCCTTCCATTCATTTTGACTAAAAAAATGTTTTAGGAAATTATGGAATAATAAGATATTATGATGGTATTTTGTATGTGTAAGTAACAAGAAAAGATTTTAAAGCTTGTGTTTGACACATAAAACTTGCAAATTTAGCTTTGACAGAGCCACAATGAGCGCTTTTCTGATCGCCTCTTCGTGAAGAGTGAAGAGCGAAGAGTGGGTGAGATAAATGACAAAATCGCTTATTGCGAACCTCATACAGCAACATTGGCTGATATTATGTGTCAAACATAAACTCCACAATCTTTTCTTGTTGCTTACACAAACAAAATATTATTATAATATCTTATTATTCCATAATTTCATAAAACATTTTTTTAGCCAAAATGAATGGAAGGAACCCTGCCTGGTGGTTCAGCCAGTTGGTGGCTCTCTTGTTGTTTGGATTGCTTGTCCATGTCTGGAGCTCTACAACAGGCAATGTTAGTGAATGTTTTTTTGCTTAAAAATCTGAATAGACGATTGTTGTGTATTGAGAACGCTTGCGCAAAAAGACAAGGGAGGGAAACGGATTCGAAACTCATATGTCATTAGCCAAATACATCCGTAGACCATAGGTCCACCGTTGTATAATTGGCAATGCACCCGTGTACTGAATGGGAATTGTGGGTTCGAATCCCACCGGTGCCCTTGGATTTTTTCGCAAATTTTCTCACACGCACGTCTCTTGCCGATGATATGTGCTAACCTCTCAGTATCTTCTAATTGTCGCATATAACAAATAAAAATTGACTTTCAGTCGCTAACCTAAATTAAAAAAATTAAAAATCTGTGAAATATCTGGAAGTCGATGCAGGAGTGCATAAACTGCCCAATTCCGTGACAGTTTCAGCACTCCTGTATTGGCTTCCAGATGTTTCATTTATTTTCACCATGATTTTCACAAAGGTTTTCTCGAGGATTTGCTGTTAGCACTCAGAGATTTCCGAGGTAAAGTGCGCGAGGTGAAACGGAGGAGGATGACGCAAGCAAGTTGGCTAACTGGTGAGATCGGCAATTTTGGAATTTCGTGTGATGATTGTTCAGTAAAACATAATGAATACTGAAAACTCGGTACTCTATTTTGCTGAGTTTTAGTCATTCACAGTAAATCTATTATTTTATGGAAATTTTAAAATTTGACGACACCTAGCTATGATCTCAAAATCATGTAGCTGTCAAATTTTCTTTGGGAATAATCCTCAAAAAATATTTTTTTCCAATTTCTTTTCAGCTGCGTACCAGGCTTTATGGGGTAGATGGTCATTAGATTGATGCAAAATTTGAAATGTTTGCTCCACAGTACTTAAACGGTTCTAAATCTAAGCCTCTTAAAGTTTGAACTCGTTTGGTTAGAAACAGACTTCCTTCACCGATTTCTTCCGAACTGCGTATACTGGGTGAAGAAATGCTAAAGAAAAGTAATTTCTTTAGCATTCCGTGTCCTATCCCGTAGCTCGTAAAAACTTCATTGCTTTTCAGCTGCCTATCAGGCTTCATTCGGTTTTAATCGAAAAAGAACTGATGCATTTGAATGTTTTTTAAATGATTTTAATCCCCTTATGTGCACCGCCCAAATGCATTCTGATTTGATAAGTTGCGGCATAGTAACAGCTAAATCATTCCCTACTGTCAGATTTGCCGCAATGGATAGCACCGGACGCATTGTGGGGCGAGGGGGACGACTCTATCTACGATGCAGAAAAAATTGTGTTTTGCTGTGGCTAGCTGCGCGCACGCTGAGTAGATAGAAAGAAGATTAATGACGATTATGAAGATTTCCTGCAAAAATATGAAGCGCGATGCAATTAGATGCGACAAATGAAAGAAGATTTTTCGTAGATTGATTCGCTAGTGAGAGATTTGTTGTGCATCTAAACTTGAGATTTAGATGTGTCACCCCCCTCGTTGTGGGGTGCATATAATCATTGACCGCAAAATTTCTAGAAGCTTCTTAGATTACGGCCAACAGTCGGCAGTCGACCCTTTGTAAGCTCCGTCGAAGCTTCAGAGTGCCACCGTGCATTTAAGCATTGTACGCTACACTCCTGTCGAATGAAAAAATAATCATCCGAAAATCATCGTTGTGGTGGTACGCAATTCGACACTTTCAAGCAGGTTTGGCAGTGTGGAACTAGCTGCCTCTGTCATTCTTTGACTGGTGTACGAAATAGTGAGGTGCCGTCACATTTCGTATATATTTGAAATGCGCACGAATGAAAGAGATAACGAAATTGCACTGTCAGGCCTGTCATGTTGCTAGCATGCGTTTGTGTGCGTGTGTTCTTCGAGCGATGATTGTAATGATTATTCATTACGTTTGCTCCTCCGTGCACACATCGTCGATCACTCGTTTGCTGTGCGGCGATGGAATAAAGAAAGTTTTTTATCCATACAAAACTTTTGACAAGTGCGGTGCTTCCTCGCTTCGCAAGCAACATCGTCGTCATCTTTCGGTCGTGGTGAATTTCGAAGTACCAGTGAATATTAAGCAGTGTGTGGTTGTTGAAAGTCGCGAATAATATCGCAAATCGGTCGGACGCCGTGTGTTCGGCCATTTCTTGGTGCGGATTTACTTCACCTTCGGATACGGACCAGCCGGCGCAGTTTCGCGACATCGACCATTCAATTAGGTGGAAGCAATCGAAACATCAACATATCCATCTGGTTCCTTCCAGAACGGATGGACTATTCTCTGGGATTACGCACCGACCGGAATCGTTGATGGTTGGATGAGCACAGAGTAGCAGATTTTTTTCCCCCAGTGCCAGTGTTTTTTTGACAGCAGGAAAGTCAATGCCTGATGCGAATCGTTCGTCAGAGTGTTGATGAGCTATTTATTTTGTTGTCCGAAGTCGGAGGTTCAGTCGTCGTCAGGCACAGTGAAGATTGAAGAGTGACTGCCCCATCTACTTGCGGCTGATGGTGAAGATTCATTCGGGAGAATCGGGAAAACAGTTACGTGTATGTATTAATCACCAGCTCAGTCAGGTTGGTGGTGAAATAGCTCTTGGATATACATACGAGACGCGTATCGTATAGTTTGATAAGGATAGTGATAATCGTGTTCGAGAAGGTTGTGACAACAGTGGCGACCCGTATAGGGCCTAGGAAGACCGTGTTTGAATAATTGATTTGCCCACAGACAGAGTGCCAATCGATACAGCTGCGAGCCTCGTAGTTGGTACATACGAGTGTGTGTTTTTTGTGTTGCAGTTCCTCCGAGTTCTCCAGCACAGCGCAGTATAGATAGCCCCTCCGGAAGGGTAGCAATTACGGCGAAAGGTGGAGACGGTCGGAACGAATGGCGTAGAGAGCAGCAAAAGAAACAAGCAACCAGTAGCCACATTTCGGTGACGTATTAGTGCGGTGCTTCGAGCCTCGAATCCTCACGAGTTGACCATAAAAGTCCAACTTCAGTCGGAGTCAAGTACGAGAGTGTCGAGACCACGACGACGACGACGACGATGATGATGAAACCACCGGAGAACGGTGCTGCAACTGAGACTATGTGCAAATACGGTGAATAAAATTGAGGACAGCAGTATGAATTCAATGTTTATCGAATTGACTTGGTTTGCGATCGCGAAAATTTTTGTGAAATCCAAACATCAAGAATAACATCAACAACGACAACGACTACTATGGAAGCAATTAGGGACTGGCTTCTTGTGCCTTCAACCTAGATCTGACGAAACCTAGAAGCAACACTCACACCTGTCGTATGATTAAAGTGAAGTGCTGTGCGCAGTAATAATGCAAAAAGACTGATTCATACCCGTAGAGTGTAATAACCAGTTCGTGTTTTTGTTATCACTTAAACACCTCTCTCGTTTATAATTTCAATGATCTCAGAGACTGTTTTCAGTGCTCACGCGTGTGATTTGTTTTTGTTTTGAAGAAAATCGAATTTATTTTTGAAATCTCCGCCCCGCACATTCAGCGAACGACGCAACGCAAAGCAAAATGATCTCGAACAAGAAGAACTACGTCGAACAGCTGCTCCATCTGGCTCTAACGTTGAGCTTGCTGCGGGTTGATCCTGAAAATTATCTGGACCTGCACTGGGAGACCCGTCTAGCTGGTACCGGCGTCGGCGGCTGGCAGCTGGAACTCCGAGCCGCCCCACTTACCGACCAGTCATACGTCAATCGAAAGGCTCTACCTTCGATCATCGAAGATCTAGCCCGTTTCGATACGCAATACAATGTTCCAACGCATTTCGACCTACAAACCTACCTGCTCAACATTCAAAACTCCAACTCCACCAATCAAACGTCCTCCGCTAGGGCTTCATCTCCATCCCCAGTACCGACACAGGAAACGCCCAACTCAACTACATCGGTTACAATCGATCTCCCAACTTTTGAAACCTTCGACACCGAGGACATATTCCTCAATACGGACCCCTTCGCCGATAGCACATCGGTCCTCGAACAAAACATGGCCGATCTGAACGATTTCGGAGAAGCTCCAATCAACACGTACGCCTTGGACGCGATCCCTCTGAAAAATGAACCACCTCCCATGTTCGAAGATCTTATCCGGCTTCCACTCGAGCCGAACTTCTTCCAAAATCACGTTCTGGAACAAGAACTGCAGCAGGCTAAGCTGGAACAGCAGTCAGAAGCTGGTAGTTCACATGAATGTTGCCAGTCTTGCGATGCTCGCATGAAACAGGTCCAGCAGGTCAAGGTCAAGGAGGAACCCCTCGGGACAGGTGACGACGAAGACTATCGGCAGGAATGTGACGGTGGCGCTGCGGCTTCTGCGACTGTTGTTGTAAAACAGGAACCCGTAGAGGAGCTGGTGCAGATTAAGAAGGAGGAAGTCGATGAGGACGACGACGAGGACAAGAAGGTCCCGTTGACGGCCGAGCTGACACTGGAGGTGAGTCGCAAAGTTTCTAATCTTTATAGCATTGCAAGTTTCGTTCTGATAACGATGCTGGTGCGCAAATGGAAGCGTCGATTATCATTGATATGTTGTCAAAATAATAACAATATGAATCACAACCAGTCTGTATCTCGTATCGTACCACTAGCAATCTAAAATCTTTCACTTTCACGTGCAAATTTTTACCATTGGCTTTTCTTTTCTTTTTTTCACCACTCGGAACCGAAGAGAGAGAGATAAGCCAATCTGTGTAAAGCTTTTTGCTCTCAGCCGATCGAAAGTGGCCACTGCCGAACGAGCCCAAAATTTATGGCGGCTTATTATTGTTGCTGGGTCGGTGCTGCGTCATACACGCTTGTGTGCGCCAATATCCTAATGCCTCTGTCTTCTTGTGTGTACGTTGGCCGTGTTGGTGGTTTATCGGGTGCGTGCGGTCATTAACACACGCGTCTCGATTGTCGGTTGCATATTTTATGTTGTTGAGTGGAGTTTATTTGCGACTGGATTTCCATTGAGGGGGTTTGAGTTTGTTTGTCTTTTGATTTCGCTGCCTAATTTGCTCGCACCGTATGAAATCGTCCCGCTTTCGTCTCGGGGTTGATTGAATTTCACGTGGCACTGCCAGATGAAAATATCTCCGTTTGCATGATCATAAAATCCGGCCTGGTTTCTAAGGCTTCGCAAACTTTAAACTTGCGGGCGTCCTTTGATCTTTGGATCCCATTACGACGCTTTTATTTATGAAAGGAAAGGAGCAAATCATAATACTCGTATTCCAGAATGAATCTACATCCAAGAAAACTTCTGGAGTAATTTGGAAGAAAAATCCGGAAGTAGTCGGAAGAAACTTTTAAAGAAAAGGAAAGGAAAATTGTAGGGAAAATCACTGCTTGCTATTTTCAAAATTCACACAACCACAACATCAGCAGCTCTCATTATGTGAAAAACTAAAATACATACAGTTCGCGACATGTCGTATGACAGAGCCTGTCATATGACATTTTAGTTTAGTACTGTAATTTGATAGCTTGTTTTGCTTGTGTCGGAAGCAAAGGCAGTCGATTATCACAGAAAATGTGTCGACTACGGTGACCGCTTACAAGACTGGCCTGGAGATTTCATACCTTTCACTGGTTACACCGAAATCTTGTTCCCTTCAACAGTTTTCCTAGATCGGTGCAGAACGCTTTAAAAATTCAGTCCAGATTACTCTGGAAAATCACCCTACATTTACTTTCGTATCCTTTATAATCCGCGTGAGAATTTGCTTTAATTAGTCTACAAAGTTTTTCTCAAAATTCCCCTAAAATATTTCTCATAAATCCCTTGGTGTACCCTTTAGAATTGCGAAAGTATTCTTTCAAAATTTCCTTGGATTTCACCTCAGCATCGCATGGGAAGTTTTTTCAGAATTCCTTTAAAATTCTTCTCAAAATGGCGTTGAGAGAATCTTGAGTAGTACCCCGTTTGTTTGGATAGCCAAAGGTGCAATTATACGGTGTTCATTTAGAATTTTCTCAACTGCTTCTCATAGCCATGTGCCCAAGAGCGTTACGCACCTGTGTAGGGGTACCAGTTAGACAATTATTTATAAGCGCCGTTTAATTACAATTTTAGCTATTCCGGGGTTTTACCGATTTACGGTATCAGTATTAAATTTGTCAAAATTCCTTCAGAGTTGCTTTAGATTCCCCTGAAACTCGTAATCCCGATAATAGTATCTTCAGAACTACCTTGGAATTCACCTCTTGTTCTTCTGAATTTGTTAAAGTAATGCTTCTCCAACTTACCTCAAATTCCTTTAGAATTCTCCTCTGAATTCATAAAAAGAGTGAATCCTAAAATGTTATCTTAGTTCAAGATTTACGTTTTTACCCTTCTTACAGAGAGAGGTATACATACCGCTTAGAATCGACTATCGAACCGTGGTCAAAAAGACCGAGTGTTATATATCAATCAACTTCCCTGGGCACTTGCACTTGCCGCACAATTCTAGATAGAGCTGGAATTAGGGCGTAACAACTGCCAACGCAAATCAACAACACCATCGGGAAGACTTCCCCTACCCGACGGTTATGTTGGTTTGCGTGAGCGTGCCTTGACTTCCTAGAAATCATCGATAGAAGTCATTGTTAACAAAGGCTGTTACGCCCAGCTCTATCTAAAACTATACTAATGCAAAAATGGTACAGGCATCAAAAGCTCTCAATTAATAACTGGGAAGTACATCTAGAACACTAAGTTCAAAGCACGCAATAGGCTAAAATGATATCAGCATTCAGCTTGAAATTTGAAGAAGAAGAAGGTCTCATAGAACGCTTTTGAATATTTTTGGAATTAATCAACTGGTTCCGGAGATATGGCTGGAACATGTTCCGGTTTGTATAGGCGATGAGACTAAATTCGACCTGAAACGAATAAAACCCATCATGCAATACATCAAATCACATAAGCATTCAAACCCCCAGTTCAATGGTAGTCATTCGGAGTACCCAGGACCACACTGTCCACATCCGGTCATGTTCCGAGTACCCCCGGGGAAGACTGGCTAAAAACTGGCCAAGTCTAAAATGTTCGTAGGTTGCCTTAACAAAATCATTCCATCAATCTACCACTTTATAACCACCAGGGTGGCCACTGGAATTAAGAATTTGAATTCCCAATTTATTGAAACAGCCAGTCGGCACCGCCGGGATTTTCTAAGGCATACAATCAATCACAATCACGCATTCTTCTTCTTCTTCGCATTTCAAGCTTATTGCCTACCGCATATTAGCTTATTGCGTGCTCTCAACTTAGTGTTCTAGATGTACTTCCACAGTTATTGATTGAGAGCTTTCGATGCCTGTACCATTTTTGCATTGGTAAAATTGTGTGGCAAGTTCAATCATACTTCTATGCCCAGGGAAGTCGAGAAATTTTCCAACCCGAAAAATTCCTAGACCAGACCGGGACCGGGAATCGAACCCTCCAGCATGGTCTTGCTTTGTAGCTGCGCCTTTACCGACTGAGCTAAGGGAGGCCCATGATCATGCCCATCTTCTCCGTTACGGGGAAAGGAAGGATATTGTTGATGTAACATCTAAAGGGTGATACGGTCAAAATTTGGTCAATATCAACTTGACGTATTTCTTTCAATTTTGCATTTAAAAAACCTGAACACCCCTCATTTTGAAGGTGTGTGTGTGTAGAATGTTGCTCCTATTTTGATTTTGGAATTCACTCTTCAGTTGTCAAAATGCCGTCCAAGCAAGAAGAGCAGCGTATCAAAATTTTGCTCGCGCATCGCGAAAATCCGAGCTACTCGCACGCAAAGTTGGCAAAATCGCTAAAAGTTGCCAAATCAACCGTTACAAATGTAATTAAAGTGTTTGGGGAACGTTTGTCGACAGCCAGGAAGTCTGGATCGGGGGGAAATCGAAAACCGGAAGCCGCTGAGACGACAAAGAGAGTTGCCGGTAGTTTCAAGCGAAACCCTAACCTCTCTCTCCGAGATGCCGCAAATAAGCTGGGTGTATCGTCTACAACCGTGCATCGAGCCAAAAAACGAGCCGGACTATCGACTTACAAGAAGGTAGTGACTCCAAATCGCGATGATAAACAAAATACGACGGCCAAAGCGCGATCCCGGAGGCTGTACACGACTATGCTGACGAAGTTTGACTGCGTGGTAATGGACGACGAAACCTACGTCAAAGCCGACTACAAGCAGCTTCCGGGACAGGAGTTTTATACGGCAAAAGGAAGGGGAAAGGTAGCAGATGTTTTCAAGCACATGAAACTGTCAAAGTTCGCAAAGAAATATCTGGTTTGGCAAGCCATCTGTACCTGTGGCTTGAAAAGCAGCATTTTCATAGCTTCCGGGACTGTCAACCAAGAAATTTACGTGAAAGAGTGTTTGAATAAACGTCTGCTGCCTTTCCTGAAGAAACACGGTTGTTCCGTACTGTTTTGGCCGGAGTTGGCATCTTGCCATTACGGTAAAAAGGCCAAGGAGTGGTACGCCGCCAACAACGTGCAGGTGGTTCCCAAGGACAAGAACCCTCCCAACACGCCAGAGCTCCGCCCAATTGAGAAATACTGGGCTATTGTCAAGCGGAACCTAAAGAATACCAAAAAAACTGCTAAGGGCGAGCAGCAGTTCAAGGCAAACTGGCTTTCTGCGGCGAAGAAGGTGGACAAGGTGGCTGTACAAAATCTGATGGTAGGGGTCAAGCGTAAGGCCCGGCAATTCGGATTTGGAAAAGCGGAAGCCTAACTAAATATTTTTCCTGAATTTTATACTAATTGAACTTGAAAAAGAAATTTAATTTGATTTTTTAAATAAACGATTTCACCGATTTACACGCGTTTTCCCTTGACCAAATTTTGACCGTATCACCCTTTACTTAACGGAGAAGATGCGCGACTCACCAACGCCCCCACAGATGCTACGGAGTTATATAATTGGGTAGGAGATGGGTCAGAATTCGGTTGAGCAGACGATGAGACCATAGTAATTGTTTTGTTTTGGAGGAACTTGGGAGTGAACCCACGATCTTCTACTTAGTGAGCAAAAGCGGCAGCCATAAAGCTAGCCAAGCTCCTCAATTTAAATGTTAGGACCTTATATGTCAATAAATACGGATTGAAATATAATGTAAACAAATGAAAAGGAAGGGTCTTACCCGAATGATCTGATGTAATTAGCCAGTCTTCTCGTGTTTCCTAAGCTGGCTCATAATGCAGCACAATTTCTTTGATTCAAATAGCCATAGTGACGTGTAATAAATGATCCCAATTGCTTGACAAAGATGAATATGAAATGGCCTGTGGTAGAGCTTGTTTGAATGGCTTCCTGTTCTGCACTTGGAATTAACGACTTTCGTGCCAAACGAGGCAGTTGGTTCAAATTCAAACTTGAACTCACTAAGTGCTTGATCAACTGTTGTTCCAAATTCGGTCGTGGTGGGCTTTTCACTAAAGTGGTTTTTACCAAATCAGCGCCAATTATC